AGAACAGAGACTCTACAGAAGAGGAGACGAGGAAGATCTCAGTTAATGTGAGGAAGAGCGCAGAACCGCACTAGAACAGAGACTCTACAGAAGAGGAGACGAGGAAGATCTCAGTTACTGTGAGGAAGAGCGCAGAACCGCACTAGAACAGAGACTCTACAGAAGAACAGCTGATAAAACAGACATTTACTGACAGTGAATCATCAGCGCCGCTATGGAGAGAGAGTCAGCAGCAGTTATGGGACCCCCGGACACCAGGGGGATTTTGCACTGGATGACGGTAAACAGTGGATATTTAGTTGTTGAGGCTTCTGTGTCATTTCTGGACTTTGTTTACTTTGGTAATGAAATTCTGAAATAACCGAGGGGGAATCAGGGCCTGCAGGCGCCGTCGGGCCGACCGCTCCTCCCTCGAAGGCTGTGAGGAATGTGAGACGAGGTTCTGACGACACGAGACTCTCAGCCAAACTCCTCTGCTGAAGGTTATCAGCAACCTGAGAGTCCTGACCTCGTCCCCTCGCTGACAGCAGGAACTCTGACTACAGCCGGACTTCAAGACTTTCACTGTGAGCTCAGTGCTGTTGATGCTGTCCAGCAGGTCTGGACCGATACGCTGTTCAGCCGATAATATTGGTAAATATTAAATATGCATTCTAGCCTAAAACTACAGGGTAACATGGTATTATTTGTGTTATGCGGTATTATTATAATAATATATAATACATAATACAATATATAATATTACTGTATCCCTCAGCCATTATATCATTCATGCTCTTTCACTACAATACCCAGCATGCATTACGCAAACATTTAGGGACGCACCGATAAAGGAATTCACTCATTAACTGTAACAAAAACATCACGTTTTCAAAAACTCTGTTTACTGCAACACAAAGGAGAACATAAAAAAACAAAAACTGTATTACAGAGAAAAACAACGTTAGTTTTTACGTTTACAGGGTCAAACCTTCAACATCCAGCAGGGGGCGCTGTCTCTGTGCTACTTTAACCACAGAGTGGAAAGAACAGAATTACAATCTGGATTCTGACTAAATATTCACCAAATACTAAAAACACACCACACAATCCCTGGTAGCGATTTTCCGATATGGGAACTGTGGGCGGTTCTAATCATGTAGTCATGCGCCATGATGTGACGTCATCTGTAAACAACCTATACGGTTCCTTCGTTTCCATGACGACATTTGTTCAAAGTCTCCTTGGTGACACAGAGATCGATATTCAAATATGTTTAAGTGCATTTTAGATGGTGTAAGTCAATAAGAACATATTACCCAAAAAGTATTTATGATATATTCCAAATGTGCTGGTTTATGTCTATAAATAAATAAAAAATTAAAAGTGCAACTTAAGCTGTTTGAAAAAATCACTCAAAAGCACAACTAAATGCATTTGATGCACATCTAATCACAGCTTAATTACCATTCAGATACTCAAGAGTCATGAGTTTCTCCAAAATAACAGTTAGTATGTTTTTAAGCATGTTTTAAGTGTAAACGTTAAAAGTACGTAGTTTTCAGCCCCGCCCACTCACTCTGAAGGTATAAGGAACATTCCAGCCCCTGCTTTTAGAATGAGGACAGCCAATCAGAACAGAGCTCATTTGCATAGACCAGTCTTAAATGACTGTAGAAATGAATGTTTTTCCACTCATGCTATGCTATCAGATTTCAATAAGAACACAGGATATGGGCTCTTTAACGCCCCCCGCTGGCGATCTGGCCTGAATCTGACTGAAATCCTTCATTTACCCTCAGAATGTGGGCCGAGAACCGCAGCGCTCGGATTAGGAGGTCAGTCAGAGACTCGGCGTACGAAACAGGGACTGTTAGAGAAAAATGAGAACTTGGTCATTAATAAACTCACCTGTCGTTAAATACAGATAATTAGCACCAGGAGTATCAGTGTAATTATGGTCTGCGGCTGCAGGAGTGGAACTCCAGCTCCAGCACTTCAGTGAAAAACCAACATCCAGATCAGCCGAGATGGGCTTGTGTGTGAAGTTTGCTGCTTTAGCTTTAGCACTGAAGCTACGAGGCTAACGTAGCTAACAAGTAAAGGAAGCCTGTACCCACCGATTAGCACTGTGCTAACCGTGAGCTGTTCAGTGATCTGTAACAGATTTGATTGTGATTTCTGACGCACTGATATCTATAAATACGGACTAAAGTACACAGAAAATCCAGCATTAAAGATGCTGCTACTGTGTTTAGCTACGCTAAAGCTAACAGCCCATATTAGACACAGTGAGTCACAGAGTCAGAAACCACAGCATCAAAACTATCAGAGACACTGAAACCCTCCACACTCCTGACTGACGACTACATTTGGAGTAAAAACATCACAGAAAACCACATTTTACTCACAAGTGTTTGAGACAGATTGACAGAATGTAAATCGGCTACAAAAGCAAACAGCTCCTATATAGAAAACAAGCAGCTCATTTGCATATATCAGTCAGGCCAGTTAAACAGTTCCTGTTTAACTGGCTGATTTTTAAAGATACAAATATATATTTTTATAACACATCATGTACATAAATATTTAAAAGGGCTGATCTTTTTTCTTTACGTACCAAAATCAGTCATAATTCATTTCTACATGATCGTTTTCCAGCCAGTTAAACAGGCTGTTTTTGTTACTGTACCTGACTGACACATGCAAATGTTTGCTTTTGTAGCCTATTTACATTCTGACGCTATTTACATTCAAACTATTAAAAAATGTGAAATTAATCAGTTTTTCTATGATATGGCCCTTCAACTCGTCTATATACGAGCTTATTTCTTCTACCTGTATATTAAAATTGATTGTCCATCTAATGTGCTGAGACTATCGGTCAGTCCACCTTCACAGGCAGCAGAACAGCAGCTTAAGGCAGATTTCAAGGCAGCTTCTATTACGCTGACCGTTCTGACCGCTGTACCGTCCGTCCAGCTGACCTTCCTCCCTGCTTCTCTACTGCTGATCCTTCACTTCCACCCAGCTGGTACAACAACCAGGTGGTGATGGAGGAGACTGTGGCTGGAGCGTTATACTGTATTTTGTGTTGCTCTCTAACTGCACCCTCCAGGACAAAACGCTTACCTGGGTGCAGAACGGTGTCCCACAAGGCTCTGTTTTAGGGCCCCTACTGTTCCCTTCATTTACAGCCCACAGTTAAAGCAACACTATGTAGGATTTGGGGATTTCTGATGGAAATGCATAATTACACACAACATATGGAAGAACATTTTGTATCGCTGGTTGAGCTTCGGACCCCCAGACGAATCTGACTTTTGAGAGTGTTGAAAGAGAACCCAAAGAGAACTTTATTCACAGTCTAAACTTGTGGAAGTGAGTGAATTATCCACTAAATGCTATATAATTATACTAAATAAGACAGTTTAAAAAATATTTAACAAAAAACACTGAACACTTAATTTTTGATATTATTTTTAAATGTAGTTTTACATTTATATATGGTGAAACGTTTTGGGGGAAAATGTGTCATGATAATATATTTTTGCCCAAACCGCTCATCCCTACCTAGATTTCACCTTATATCACCATTTGGCAAATATCGTAATGCTGAACTGCGTCAGTATCGTCCAGCACTGGAGCTCCAACACAGCACAAACAGGCATTCATTAGTGCTGTTTGTGCTCTAAACACAATAAGATTCAGCTGTTTTCTGTAAATAACAATAACAAAAATAATATCTTTATTTATAGAGCACTTTTTATACCTGTGGCAGCTCAGAGAGCTGATAAAGCTAAACAGTAATAGAAGAAACTATCATATTACTTATAATTTAAAGCATATAAGGCAGCGACAGATCAGATTAAGCAGATAAATACAAATAAAAAAGGTGCAGAATTGTGATTAAATACTAAATTTAAGTTTTCAGGTTAAAGCTGGGTAATATGACTATATTGTGAGAAATATCCTTTTTTTAGCATCTCAGACACCTTCAGTATTTAAAACCACCCCCTAACTGCATGTTTGATTAAAGATTAGTGCAGTTTAACTGGATTTAGTGCAGCTCAGTTTGTGAAATGTTGAATCCAAATAACTGAATGTGTAGTTTTTTTAAACATGCTGCTACTGTGTCTGTTCTAACTCATCAGTTCAGGTCAGAGGAAATAAATATCGTGATTTATCGCGTATCGTGAAAAGCTCTTAAAGAACAGAACGAGTCTCACCATCGAACTCGGCAAATAAAGAAGGTCAGTACACAGTTAAAAAGCTGTCTTTAGTAAAGACAGTGGTTCTGTTTAGAACCATGAGTTCTATATAGAACCATTTCATGGTTAAATGGTTCTCTGCATGGTGAAATCATGTGTGTTCTATATGGTTCTAAATAACACTTGAAGAACCATTGTAAGAGTTAAGAGTTCTTAACGATGTATTGTACAAACATTACCCTTTATTTTATTACTAAAATGCTTCAGAAATATAACTTTAAATGCTGTCCTCTCACTGGACAAAATATCTGGGCATGATTTTAGAAAAAAAAAATCATATTAATATAACGACATATCGTGCATCATAAATTTCTTAAAGTATCACGATATCTCCTTTCGGCCATATCGCCCAGCTCTGTTTCGTGTTGAGTGTTAAAAGAGAGCCTGACTGTCTGATAAAAGCTGAACTGAAGCAGAATAACAGAGCGAGTCTCTCCGCGTTTTCTGTACTTTAAACGCTGTTTTTTGCTTTTAAACGCTGCACATTTACTAGAAAAGTGTGGTTTTTTAATCTGCGCTGTTTAACAGCATCCAGATCATCACCTGTGGCTAATAGCATCAGTGCTAACCCATCAGACCCCCTAACTACCTAACTAACATCTCCAAAAACGCGATCTGCCCCTCCTCAGAGAGAAGCACCCCGCAGGGACATAAGAGCCGCTTTTGACCGACTGGGTTCATTTTAGCCTTAATAATGTAGTAAAACAGTGAGTCGCCGAGGGACTCTTACTTTGAAAAAACCGCACTTAC